CATGACCGTGAAAACACGTTCGACCGTAATTTAATTTAGACATCAGCGGAGTCACGCTATGCAGTGCAGCTCACGGCGAGCACACTTCAGCACACTTTCCCGAAACTGTGCTGTAGCACCACGCGAGATCGATGATTGACGAATACTTCAGCACATTGCCAGACACTGTAATACACGTGACACCGATGACTGACCACCTGCCAATACACGGGCGCATATATCATATTATTCTACCTAAATTTATGCTCGATATCGAAGTGCGGAAACGCCAATACAAACGAACATGACGGCCGTATCGACCACGCTCACACCCAGTTACCAGTGAGGTACGGCAGGACGATTTTACTCACGTCACGAGTCGCCGCCTGTGAGACATCCAGACTCGTAACTCTGTCTCTGCCAGCAAAAGCTCTCGAGACGCGATCCCAACTCATGTGCAGACACACTCTATCTACCAGCATGATGCCGACCGCTTCTCCCAACACCAGGTTCGCTCCCCCGATCAAGTCTGATGTATCCCACAGGCTGGGGCACATCGATGCCGTCCGAGACATGCGGAAGTGCCCTCGATTGTCTTGAGCGCGCCCTTCCAATCCTTTCCGTGTGCGCCAGAAGCATTTCTTACAGTCCGTGAGTGCCACACCGTTATGGTTCCGCGAAGTCTTCGACGGCCTGGGCAGGCCAGGTATGGTTCCGTTGCTGTACTCGATGAGCACAGCGCTCAGGCATTGGGCACAACAAAGGATGAGGCATCCCGACTTGAGACGAGTGTCCCGCCTCGGCGAGTCTCCTTCGAGATCAGACGGGTCGTCCAAATCCATGTACATTGTGAGGCTCTGCGACCGCCGAAGCTTCTTGTGCTCTCGCATCGGCGACTGCAACTTGTTTGGAGCGTAATCCTCCATCGGGAGGTCTTCCATGCGGAGATCAAGATCATCCATGGCACCGTATAGCTCAGGTGGGAGCGAGTTGGGGATCTTTCGACTTTGGGCGACTTTGATTGGGCAAAAGGGTGAGGGCCCGCTGCACGGATTCGATTGGATACGAACAGCAGGGCCAAGGTGATGCTGTACAGTGGCCTCCATTCAGAAACACAAGCATTGTTATAACGTTAAAAGCGCCGTCGGTCCAACAAGACTTCGTGGCACGGCTTCCGGGCAGAGACGTTCTCGTCCGTTGGTACCCCCGAGCCAACACCCTGCGAGGCCCCTCCCCTCGTCTGCTCTTTCTTCACTGGCTGGGGACAGCTGAAGTGGCGGCGTCGTCACGCGCCATGTGACTCCGCTTACACGCGGAAGCCTCCAGATTGATCTGATAATGTAAGGTCACAGTATTGCAAAGGGAGAGCTGCAAAGGGAAAGGAAGGATGCAATATCGGGAGCCGTGTCCCCACATCACTATCTTGCACACTGGACTCGACTCGTTGAAGGTGAAGTCACTGCCTAACCGTGTCATCACACCCTACATCGGCGGCTTGGGGCAGAAGTTGGCGGAGGTTGATGTCTTTCCAACTTGCGTTATCTTTGCTGAGCTTCGGGAGAGCAGTCTGAATTTCAAGGCGTCCCTGCTATCCGGCGACGATCAAGGCACCATTGCCATCTCTCAGATGCTTTACGAGCCGCACGGTGTCTGCAGCGTCCCCAGGTCTTTACTGCGTGACTCGAAGGAGTCCGTCCATCTTTGTCCACGAGATTGCACCTGGTGCCGGCTTCCATGGTTGCGGATAGGACTCGCGCAGGGCGTTGCCTCACCGGCCGGTCAAGGTCGTGGTCTTTCAGGACACTCCCCTGCTTGACATGGGGGAATGAAAACGGCAAGGAATTTGAAAGCATGTAATGCATCTCAGCTGGTCGCGGACGGGCGCGTCAAGCAGCGGCTGTTGCGGCGCCACCAGAACAGCCCGTCGCAGCGGTACGCGTTGCGTGCAAGCCACCATGCGGCCACCTGCCAGCACCGACGCGCTGCCGCAGCACACGCGACATCTTCTTTCCACTAAGTTAACGTTGCCGCCGCCATCGCTGTCGCCCGTAATGTCTGCCGCAACAATGCCATCACGTTCGTCCTCGCTGGCTCACCATGCTTCCAGCCGCAGCCTCCGCCAATGGTTCCGAAAAGCTGCGACAGTCACTGGCGATCGCAACGTTAGCTCCGATTCGGGGCGCATCTCTTGAAACCACCTCCGACCTCGCCAACAACGACAACAATTCTTGCGCGGCGAGCGATGTCGAAGTTGCAGACGAGGACGGCAAGGATATCCCCTAAATCAGATCTGAGAAGAAGGGCGCGTGCGCACATGGAATTGGAGCATAGCTTGCCGTGGAGGCAGATGCCTGCAGAACCGCAAGAGATGATTTTGATGCAGAAATCTATGGGAACGAAAGGATACAAGGTGAACTCTGGCGACCGCCTCCTATCACACGGGGTCTCCACGACCCCGTACGACGTCTGGTACCTCAGAGGACGGATGCTGAGTCGAAGTTGCAGACGAGGGCGGCAAAAGTATCCCCTAAATCAGTTCTGGGAAGAAGGGCGCGCGCGCACATGGATTCGGAGCATAGCTTGCCGTGGAGGCAGATGCTTGCAGAACCGCAAGAGATGATTTTGATGCAGAAAGCTTTGGGAACAAATGGATACAAGGTGAACTACGGCGACCGCCTCCTACCACACGGGGTTTTCACGACCCGGGACGACGTCTGGTACCTCAGAGGACGGAAGTCGAACACCAATGACAGTTTGGCGGAGCCAGTCATCGCTGGCCCTGTGACTCGCAAACCAGGTCACGCAACAGGCAGATGCTGCGCTGATATCCTTGAACTAAATACCACAACTTTGAGCTCGCGCACCACCGACACCACACTGCCCTGAAATCTAACAGCCTGATGCCTTGGGGCGATTGACTCTCACTTCTCAAGAAGACGTGAGAGCGCAAGGCTGAGGCTTGGAAGGGTCACGACCAGCATCCCGGCAACCACGCAGCCCCGTGGGATCAGAACGTCAGCTTTGTTTTGCAGACGACACGTTTGAGAAAGACTCACTGCGAAGATGGCTGTCGTAGTTTGAGACGACAATCTCGGTTCGTTGACAATCAGAGCTCGATTCAAGCGCGGCAATCTGACCGTCCGGAGGTGTCGGCGGAGAAGAGTCCAGGAAGCCTTGACGAGCGCACGCCTCGCCCTGAGCCGAAGCCACTCCAAGCGGGAAGCTTCGTGTTCGAGATTCTGCGTGGAACCGGACCAGTTCGGGGCCTGCGCGTTTTCTTTCGCTGCAGAGCCAGTGACATGCAGCCAGCGCAGTGATCTGGAGATGGCGCCAGAAGTTCCGAGTTGCCTCAGGACTCGGTCGAAAGCGCCGGCCACAGATGAGAGTTGCTGCAACAGATTGTTCACGTCCAGTGTGTCGATTCGAAAAGCAGGCAGCCTTGTCAGGAATATGATCGCGGCAGCGGCGCTGCAGGCCAGCAGGGTCAGAGGGAGCATCGAGAGACTTTGCATCATGTTTTGGCGGTAGCACAGAAGGTCGGAGAGCGATCCCAACGTGCGGTTTTTATGTCCCTGTCGGCACGCCGGCAGAGCCTACAGATGCTGTCAGACCCTGAAGGCCAGATGGTCACGCGCCGGCGTTCGACTGAACCCGACCGAGAAATACTGGCTGCCTGAAACGCTGAATGAAACACTGGCTCACCTTGCTTCCTCCTCTGGGGAACAGGGGGAAAGTTTGAGGATGTGCCATATAAGCCGGTCGCTTGTGCGTATGTGCGAAAAGATGGACATTTGCCGGGCTCTGTAGGTCGCGGTGACACTGTCTGGTTTACTCGACTTGTTTGCCAGCCCTCTCAATCAGAAAAGAAACTACATCACATTATGGGCACGTGTTCGGAGGCCAGAAGGCTCAAAGAGAGATTCCACAAGTACAGGATGTCCCTGAAGAAAAAAGCGGACTTGGCCAAGGAGCACCAGGCGGAAATCCAAATGGTATTGTTTCGCAAAGGCGTGTTGTACGACATCCCCGGGGACCGTCGTGAAGTAAGCTCTCGACAGAAAGACGCCCCGCGTGGGCTACGAAACGGACTCTGCTGACGAGTTCAGGAGTCGAGGAAGACGCTATCAAGTCGCTCCAAACACATTCCATTGAAAGCAAGTCGTCGACATCATTTCACTTTCGTCGAGCCAGCCGCACTACGTCCTTCGCAGCTCAGTGCGACAACAGCAAACCCTATACAAAACTCGCGGATGCTAAGACCGGTGGAGTCGTTGGCGGGACGGCGACGTGGGTCGGAGGTATCGAGCGTGCGACGCAATGTCGTGACCGAGCTGGCTTTTGAGGGGAGGGGAGAGCAACCGTCGCATCTTACAAGTTGAGTGCGCAAACAATTTCGGTATGCCGGGTCATCGATGGTGCAGTATGGCATAGCAGTGACCCAATGTCCCCGTGATCTAGTCTACTGTACGATGCAGCGCCCTCGAAAACCAACAAGCATTTTCAGCCTCACCTTTTAGTCTCATCCCATTGCCTCCCGACAACAATACTGTGGAGAAGCGTGAGTGTGTATTGAGTGCAAGACACATGTGCAGCACGGGAACGCAGCGCCGAAACTCCACATCACGTGATATCCCCGGCATCAGCCTACAGGCAATGACGTTACTGGCCTTCTCCGATGCTTCATCGAAGGCACATGCGCTTCGGCGGTCGTGGCGCCGCGTCATTCTCTCCCTCTTGCATCGACATTCGACGACCACGAATTTCCCCAGATTTTTCGAAGTCCTCGAGGTCGCTCGACATCCGCTGTTCGTCTGTGCCGCAGCTCTGAGCCATTACGGTTTCGAAGACTGCTGAGCTTTCGTCCCCAAGGAATTCTCGAACGAAAAGGTCCGAGTCGAAACGTGTCGGGTCACCCTGCACGATGCTCCTCAGGCCCTGCAACGCAAGCCTGACCGCGCACCTCGGAATCTGCGTCGGGTGCGTGAGGTTTGTGGCGGCCCACTGCGCGGCCGTCAAGTAGCGTCCTGCTTCTCGCTCGTCCCAGAATGATCCTTCCACAGATGCGGACCCACCGACGGCCAGCTGCGCGCAGACGATGCCGGGCGGCAGTACGAGGACGTCGTGAGGCTCGAGTAGCACCAGCCGTTGTTCCCCACGCGGCTGCCAGCCCAGTCTGTCGCTCGCGAAGTCAGCGTACAGCGACGTCGTCATCTTCGCGCGAGGCACAAAGGCGCACAGCCTCCTCCCCATCAGATTGCGAATCCAAGTGCCTCCCAAGGGATCTACGCAGGGCCCGACAAAGGCGCCGGAGCCATCGATGCGATTGAAGTTTAGGCCGCCGCTCACACACAAAGAGTGAGCGCCAATAGAGCACCCCTTCACCCAGCCGCCATCCGCTGCTTCGACAGCCTGGGAGACGCCCCTCGTGATCGCGGCGTGAAGCAATCGAAAGCGGTCAAGAGACAGGAACGTCGGTCGAGGCGCCCCGAGGGAATCACACACGGTAGAAGAGCTGACTGGCACTGTGCCGCTCGAAATTTCTGCGAAGAAGTCTGCGGTGCCAGTGTGCCCTACCTTCTGTGTGAGTGTGTTGATGGTCGTGACGGTCTGGTCCCCGAAACTGTCGCGCATCGCCTTTCGCAACGATTCCACATGGTACGTCCGTCGGTTGATCTGGCGCTCTGTGATGACAATCGGTCTCTCGATGAGGACGCCTCTGTCGGCCAGGCTTTCGAAGACAGCGGGATCGGCGTGCAACACCTCCGCCTCCACATCCGCCTCCATCTCGTCACCGGGGCCGTGTCTCTCGGATGGTGCTGCGGCAGAGGCCCACGTCGCGTCCCCGAACCAGCTATCTCGCGCACGGCACAATTCAGACGCCTCGTGTGAAGCCGCTTCGAGCCCGACCGTGCTGAGGAGCGGTAGTAGCGCATTGCAAGTTTCGCATTGACAGACGATCGGCCGAGTGTCAAGGTGGCTGTGTTGGGGACCCTCGGAGCGGTCTGAAGACGTTACATTGCTGCTGTCCGCAGAGCTTTCGACCTCGTGCACTCGGGTGCTCGCTGATACACTACTGTCGTCAAGCACATCGTCAAGCACATCGTCAAGCTGCCTTGGGTAGACCATTCCCTTGGCAGAATGTGGAATGTACGAGGCAAAACCGGACGTTGGCACTTCATCGTACGAGCCCCGGGCGGCTGCATATGGTTGCATCACCGCGAACGCCTTAAGCGTTGCGGAAAGGTCTGCAGCTGGCCGACCCGCCTGGTATGTGTGTATTGGAGGCAAGCCCGAATCTCTTCCTGCGTTTCTCCATGACCACGCCGTTCCAAAGTCACTGCTGTCTGAAGTGGAATCTTCCGGCGAACTTGCTTCGCTACTTCCTGTACTATGCTCGAAGGGCGCCCTCAGGACGCGAGGTGCACGCAGGGCGAATCCCGGGTGTGCGGACCGTGTGGACGATTCCAGGCTTGGAGAAGGGCTCGTGGCGCTGCCGCTGTTGGGATCGATCACGGTAGACGAGTCCTCGTCGCCACCTGGCCAAAGGTTGTGCTGCAATTGGGAAGCGCCGGCCGGCAGTCCGGATTCGGCGGGTGAAGGTGGTTGGAAAAGGCCACTGGCAGATGATTCGGAAGTACTGGAGGCGGTGGCGTGAGACCGCACCGTCTCCGCATCTTCCAAAGAACTGTGAGGCATCGTTTCCCTCTGAGACGAGCCCGACATCTGCGTCTCGTTTGCCGCAACTTCGATTCCCTCAGGAGCTCTGAGGCTCCTCAGACTCGACGCAACTTGGGACGGAGAACCTGCACTTGAGATATTGCCATTGCGTTGGTCGCTCAACCATCTCTCGATGCCACGCAGACTTGCTTCGCTGCCCGCTGCTGCGCCAGCGTCACGAGCCCGAGTGAGATCCCGCAGCGGTCCGTGGTGCTCGAGCGAGTAGGCACTTAGCTCTCTATCACGGTGTTCATCACTCGCGGGACTTTCGCGTACCTGTGACAAAGGACTGCTGCTGTGTGGCTTGCCCGAAAGTGCCGCACGACCAACGACCGGGACGGTGATGCACTCCTGCTTGACGAGGTCGCCTCCGCCCGATGACTTGTCGCCCAGACTAGACTCACGTCTAGATTGCAGCTCGATGGACTCGCGCACCGAAGACAGATCGCCGTCATCCTCGCATTCGACGTTCCTGTTCTCAGCGAGTCGTCCGGTCTGGGTTGAAGCTTCGCTGCTGAACGTTTCACCACACTTTTCGATCTGTTCGTTGGCCGAGGGCACGTGCGCCGACTTTCTTCGGGCGAGACCAGCGGTGCGCCGCATGGAAGGACTCTCGTTCC